CGCGAGCCGGAATTCACAACGCTTTATCTGTAGAGTGGGAAAGGGATCCTCCATAGGGAGAGGATAGTGGATACTTCAGCACTGCATTGTCATCGGGTCCAGGCGAATCTCCTTCGTCAGATCTGGACACGGCCTGGATCCGGCAGGCTGCGGGAAAACCTCGGGATAAACAAAGACACTAATATTAGCGTAGATGCCATTCTTCTTATGATGTAGCGAGTACATCAAGATTTAAGGGAAGTGTTCCCAGTTCCGGCTGACCTAATCTATGCAGCCTAACATTGAATTTATAGAAGTCTATAATGTATTATGTGTATGCTAGGTCAAAGAGATGTGTTTTTAGTCTAGCTTTGAACTGACAGAGTGTGTCTGCTTCCCGGACAATGGTAGGAAGACTGTTCCAAAGATTTGGTGCTAAATAGGAAAAGGATCTACCGCCAGCAGTCGATTTAGATATTCTAGGTATTATCAACTGGCCGGAATTTTGAGATCGCAATAGACGTGAAGGACTATAATGCGTTAAGAGCTCGCTCAAGTACTGCGGAGCTAAACCATTTAGTGCTTTGTAGGTAATCAACAATATTTTAAAATTTATACGATGTTTAATAGGGAGCCAATGCAGTGTTGACAGAACCGGGCTAATATGGTCATATTTCCTGGTTCTGGTAAGAACTCGAGCTGCGGCGTTTTGAACTAGCTGTAGTTTGTTTATTAAGTGTGCAGAGCAACCACCCAGTAGAGCATTACAATAATCTAGCCTTGAGGTCATGAACGCATGGACTAATTGTTCCGCATTTCCCAATGAGAGCATATGGCGTAATTTAGATATATTTTTAAGATGGAAAAATGCAGTTTTACAGATACTAGACACGTGGCTTTCAAAAGAAAGGTTGGTATCAAATAGCACACCCAGGTTCCTAACCGACGACGAAGACTTGACAGAGCAGCCATTAAGTGTTAGACAGTATTCTGGGTTATTACGTGTGGAAGTTTTTTGTCCAATAATTAGAATCTCTGTCTTTTCAGAATTTAGTAGTAGGAAATTACTAGTCATCCAATTTTTTATATCAGCTATGCATTCCGTTAATTTTGTGAATTGGTAAGTTTCGTTGGGTTTTGAAGAAATATACAGCTGAGTATCATCGGCATAACAGTGAAAGCTAACTCCATGTTTCCTAATGATATCTCCTAATGGTAGCATGTACAGAGTGAACAGCAGCGGTCCTAGTACTGAGCCTTGTGGTACGCCATACTGAACTTGTGATCGATAAGACATCTCTTCATTTACTGCTACAAACTGATAACGGTCAGTTAAGTATGATTTAAACCATGCTAATGCAATTCCACTAATGCCAACATAGTTTTCTAGTCTATTTAAAAGAATGTTGTGGTCAATGGTGTCAAATGCAGCACTAAGATCGAGTAACACTAATAGAGAGATACAACCACAATCGGATGATAAGAGCAAATCATTTGTGACTCTAATGAGAGCGGTCTCAGTGCTATGGTACGGTCTAAATTCGGACTGAAAATCCTCGCAGATATCATTTCTTTCTAGAAAGGAACATAGTTGTGAAGATACTGCTTTTTCTTATATCTTTGACAGAAAAGGCAGATTCGAGATCGGCCTGTAATTGACTAATTCTGTAGGATCAAGTTGTGGTTTTTTAACAAGCGGTTTTATCATAGCCAGCTTAAAGGTTTTTGGTACGTATCCTAGAGACAAAGATGAATTAATGATATTAAGAAGAGGATATATGACCTCTGGAAACATCTCTTTCAGTAGCTTAGTCGGTATAGGATCTAACATACAAGTTGTCGATTTAGATGAATTAACGAGTTTGCAGAATTTTTCCTCTCCTATAGCAACAAATAAATCAAATTTTTCCTCAGGGAGACTACAATGCACTTCCTGATGCGATACTGTGGTAGACGGTTGCATAGTTATAATTTTGTCCCTGATATTATCAATCTTATAAGTGAAGAAGTTCATAAAGTCATCACTGCCGTGTTGCTTTGACACTTCTGAGCTTGAAGCTTTCTTTTTCGTTAGTTTAGCCACTGTTTCAAATAAATACCTAGGATTATGTTTATTTTCTTCTAATAGGTTTAAAAAATAAGCAGATCTAGCAGCTTTTAAAGCCTCTCTGTAAGCAATTGAGCTCTCTTTCCACGAAATCCGAAATACCTCTAGTTTAGTTTTCTTCCAGTTGCGCTCCATTTTTCTGGCTGCTCTCTTTAGGGCCTGAGTGTGCTCGCTGTACCACGGCGTTGGACTATTTTCTTTAATCTTCTTTAAGCGCAACGGAGCAACTGCGTCTAAAGTGCTGGAAAAGAGAGAGTTAAACGTTTCTGTTGCAATATCGAGTTCTTCTAAGCTATCTGGGATGCTGAGATGATGAAACTGATTAGGAAGATTATTGATAAAGCAATCTTTAGTGGCAGAAGTTATAGGTCTAACGTATTTATAACACGGAGTCGGCTTTGCAGCCTTGGCTAAATGTAATTTACATGAGACTAGATAATGATCTGAGATGTCATCGCTCTGCTGCAGAATTTCAACAGCATCAACATCTATTCCATGTGATAATATTAGATCTAGAGTATGATTACGACAATGAGTAGGTCCTGACACGTGTTGTCTAACTCCAATTGAGTTTACAATGTCTTTAAATGCCAATCCCAAAGTATCTTTTTCATTATCTACATGTATATTAAAATCACCAACAATTAGTACTTTATCTGCAGCCAATACTAAATCTGATAGAAAGTCCGCAAATTCTTTGATAAAATCTTTATGGTGCCCTGGTGGCCTGTACACAGTAGCCAGCAGAATTCTCAAATGTGATTTATCGTTTACACTATATATTTTTACATTAAGCACCAATACTTCAAAAGAAGTATATTTAAAGCTACATTTCTTAGTGGTTTTGAAAATATTACTATAAATTACAGCAACACCTCCCCCTTTGCCTTTCAGACGAGGTTCATTTTTATAACTGTAATCTAGTAGGGTTGACTCATTTAAAATAATGTAATCGTTTGGTTTTAGCCAGGTTTCTGTCAAACACAGCATATCAAGATTATAATCTGAAATCATATCATTAACTATAAGAGATTTTGAAGTAAGGGATCGAATATTCAGCAACCCAAGCTTTATCATTTGCTCATCTGTATTATATCTGTTTTTTATTTGTTGAACATCAATTAAATTTTTAACCTGACGTTTTTTGGATTTCCAAATTCGGGGAACAGACACAGTCTCTATATGATGATATCTAGGTGAAAGAGGCTCTATGTGATGGGATTTATCTGACCTTGGTGACGTGAGGCCGCTAGCAGACGGTCGGTTTAGCCAGTCTGTCTGCTTCCTGACCTGAGCCCCAGATTGTCATGTTTTAGCTCTAAGACTATGAGCCAAATTACTAGAGAGAAGAGCAGCACCAGCCCAGGAGGGATGGATACCATCTCTTTTCAACAGATCAGGCTTGCCCCAAAAACTTTTCCAATTGTCTATGAATTTTATATTATTCTGCGGACACCACTTCGACAGCCAACCATTCAGTGAGGCCAATCGGCTAACTATCTCATCACTCCTGCGTACAGGAAGGGGGCCAGAGCAAATTACAGTGCCTGACATCGTACTTGCGAGTTCACACACCTCTTTAATATTAATTTTGGTGATCTCCGACTGGCGGAGTCGAACATCATTAGTGCCGACATGAATAATGATCTTAGAGAATTTACGATTAGCATTAGCCAGCACTTTTAAATTTGCTTTGATGTCAGGCGCTCTGGCTCCCGGCAAACATGTGACTATGGTGGCTGGTGTCTCTATTTTCACGTTCCGTGTGATCGAATCACCAATTACCAGGGCACAATCAACAGAATTCTCAGTGGGTGTTTCACTGAGTGGGGCAAATCGATTTGTTATGGGAATCGGAACGGAAGAGTGGTTCTTTGATCCGCGACTAGAGCGGTGATCTCTCACAGTAACCCATCTGCCCTGCTGCACGGGCTCTACTTCAGCCGGAACCGAATCATGTAGAGTTCACTATGCTAGGCGCATCCAAAACACTATCTAAAGATCTAGCATTCTTACCATCCTCAATTAAAGTTTGGATGCGTGTCTCTAGTTCTGAAATCTTCTCCGTCAGCCTGACTGTCTCCTTGCATTTATCACATATAAATCCTATATTGCCATCGGAGAAGGCTATACTAAACATATGACATGTGACACAGGTGACAATAACAGGACAAGAAGACATTACTCACCGTGTTTGTTGACTGATTTCTTACTTACCTGGGGGGTATTGCACAAAAGCAAGATAAGGGATTAAGCTGGGATTTTCCAGTTATCCTGGCTGAATTTAGCCCTTACTTGGTTGCATGAAGGGAGGCTAAATTAATCTACATTAAGTTACTATGGAGATTTACACTTTGCAGCTAGCCTGCTCCGGAGCAGGCTAACAACCAGGCTAAGATTAATCCTAGTGATTTATCGGCTAGTTCCTCCCTAAATCCTACTAGATATTAATGTGTTTTAGTCACTTCATGGTCCTGCATTAAAATACTAGATATACTGTCATTCATCTAAGTATGCGTACTGTTATTTTAGTTATTATTGAAAACTGCTGTTCATTTCACTGTCAGAGGTTTGATGAATATATATATATTATTCGAGATTTAAAGCGTTTATTGTCATACACCCAGTGAGGAAAGCAGATTTTCCTGAGCAATTATTACTTTGCTGTCCACAATGAATGCCAACACAGTGCAAAATAACTATACTATACAATATGAGAAATAGAATATAGACTATGTATATCTATATATGCAAGTATAGAGTAGAAATGTACTGTTGAATGAGAAAAAATTTTTTTTGCAGTTGATGAGATAAGAAATGGCTCATGAAGTTGCAAATGTGGTTTCAATTAAGTCCGTAACGAGGTCAATATGTAGTATATATAGACTAAAGATTTGTGTGTTTCCTATTCACAATGGCTTGTCCTTTGTTGGATGATGTAGTTGATGAGGAAGTTTTAATACTCAGACGAGCATTCAGGCATGAAAGAGTCTTCCGAGATAGGGCAGACCCATTGGCCTTTTCAGACGAATATCTGACTGAGAGGTACAGATTCTCAGGTGATGGCATCAGATATTTGTGTAGGCTGCTGGGTCCAAACATACAGCACAAGACAGCACGGAGCCATGCTCTCATTGTCCCACAGATGGTCTGCGTAGCACTGCGATTCTTTGCAAGTGGCATGTTTCTGTATTCTGTCGGTGATGCAGAAAACCTCAATAAAGCCACTATTTGCCGCACAATAAGAAATGTAAGTCTGGCATTGAAATCTCTTGTGCACATATTTATCACCTTCCCTGGTCACAGAAGATTCATCCACATCAAGGAGGAGTTCTACAAGATTGCAGGTTACACGAATAATAACAGATTACTACAAAATGTTACATTAGCATAGTCACAGTATGACACTCATTATTTTGTGTTACAGCTTTGCCTAATGTAATTGGTACAGTGGATTGCACCCATATTCGTATCCAACGCCCCTCAGGGGCACATGAGGGAGATTATGTTAATAGGAAATCCTTCCACAGTGTCAATGTTCAGGTAAGAATGAGTTATGGTTACTGTCAGCTACATAATTATTCTGTGCATTAAATGACCTTAATAGGCTATATATTTTTACAGATGATCTGTGATGCTGACTGCCTTATCACAAATTTAGAGGCAAAGTGGCCTGGCTCAGTCCATGACTCCAGAATCTTTCGGGCAAGTAGAATTTACCAGAGACTCTCTCTAGGTAAGCCACCCCATTTTTTTAAGCACCTTGAACATCAAGGGTACAGTACTTATGTTTTGTATTCGCAGGTGAGTTCTCTGGTGTGCTGCTGGGGGACAAAGGCTATGCCTGTGAGACATTTCTGATGACTCCCCTTACAGACCCCCAAACCCCAGCACAGCAAGCTTACAACCATGCCCATGCCAAAACCAGGGCTCGAATTGAAATGACCTTCGGCCTCCTGAAATCACGATTTCAGTGCCTGCACCACCTGAGGGTCTCCCCAGACAGAGCATGTGATGTGACTGTTGCCTGCACAGTGCTGCACAATATTGCCAGCCTAAGAAAAGAAAGGGCTCCCAGAGTTGCTTTGGATGTTAATTGGGACAATGCTGCCATATTCCCAGATAACAGAAATGGAAGACTTGTTAGAGAACAATACATTGCAAATTATTTCAGTTAATTTAGTTTTGATTTAGCCCATCCCTTAATAAAGGATAATGCAGGCTATATAACTTTTTCATGTGTACATGCATTTTATTTGGAATCAGCAGCACACACTGTGGTTATCTTCCCAAATTCTAGTTCCACGTCACTGGATCAATAAATATAAAGTGTATACTTGACATTCATAAAAAAAAGTTACAAGACCACAATGGTTTTGGAATATTTTTCTTTTATTATTTTGCTGTTATCACTTGTCAGCTTGGAGCTTTGGAGAGAAAAAAAATATAATGATTAATACATTGTGTTACAGTCATGGTTACAGTATGAACTGAAGTCACTTACTTCTCTTTCTAGTTTCTGGATTTCCAGTTCTAGTTTCCTCGGTGTCTTGTGTTTAATTTGCATCTCAAGGTCCATGTCCTGCAGCTTTCTTTTGTTCACATCAATCTTGACTTCTGTCAGCTCGATCTGTCTCTTTAGATGGGTTGTGTAGAGATATCTGACAGTTTGTGAATTCTGTGAAGACCTTTTAGTTAGCATAGCAGAATTTTGGCATAATGTAAATTTACTTTAGGCAATACGCACTGTTACCAGGCTGCTTATCAGGTTGCCCAATGTCAGGATCCTGTAACAAATAATATTTTCTATTAGTACCACTTCCCTGACTTCTTATCTATTATGAACTTATAAAAAAATGTGTCTATTTTCACAAAATACCTCGAGCCTTCTGGAGTCCAGCGACACGGTCTCATCATCGGCAGAAGTGCACTCCACTGCTGTAGATGTGGCTTCCCTCTGCCATTTCAATACTTGTATTGATATTTTTTGACAGGACATGCAAAGCCTATGATTTAATAAAGAGTACTCACCGGCAAATCATAGTCTGTTGGCTCCAAAAGTGTAAGGGTGCTACCAGCCACTATAAGGCAAAGTCACACAGTTTACAAAACAAAATATATATGGATTTCAATATTTTCCATGTGCAGTTGTATGGCAATAATGTACTTTGTATGAAGAGGCCAGTATCCCTTGCTGGGCCAGAGTCAGTGGATGTCCCTCCCTGGATCCCTTCAATCACTGGCTTCCCTTTATTTAGGTCCAGGGCCAGCTCCTCTGCTGGGGTGAAGTCTTGGGTTGGAGGGCCACCCCCCGTACCAGATATATGACTTTTTTTTTTTATTGCTAAAATCAGCACAGACAATAAAATGTCAGCAAACATGTCACCTATGTTCTCCGCAAACAAGTCACTTACCAGCCTGCAAAATATTCTTGTATTTAATCTTGACTTGCTGCCAAGTCCTTTTTTGGCCAGACATGTTTGTTCTTTAAGAGGAATAGATACAAATGATAAAATAGATTAGATGGATAAAAATAGAGCAAAATATCTGATTATAGATTACATCAAATCAATTAAAAACAAAACCTACATACAAATAGATAAGAGTAAAAAGATTAAAGAGATAATAGACATAAAATAAACTAAATAGATACACATAGTGGGTAAGTGTTTGCAATTATTCTTCATGTTAAATGCATGTTCACTGGTCACATTTAAGGCAAAGTATACAATTATTTTTGAAAATGACAAGTAACTCCTTGAATTGTAATTATGAGGGTTTCAGTGGAGCACTGGTTATTTGGACTACTTACGCATTCAATCGGTCCGCTATTGTTTGCCATGCATTCTCTCTTTGTTTTATTACAGCAGCTGTATTGCCTTTTTTACATATTATATGTTTCACTTCTTCATACGTTTCCATAAGAAGCTGTTGCTCATTAGGCGAAAAGTATGCCGCACGCGTTTTGTCCATTTTCGGATCGGTGATTCTGTGATCGATTTCGTGATCTTTTAAAGAATGCCGTGAACGTGCATTTATCCAAACTATATACACCTGGCTTGACATATCCGCGCGTTCTCATCCTGGCTCAGCAAACGTGCAACGGATTAAGCCAGGATGCACTGATTAAACTAGGTCAAGCCGGGACTGGTCTTTTATCCTGGCTTTCTTAATTCTACTTTTGTGCAATACCCCTCTGGACTTTATGAACTCAAAAGGCGCGGGCGCGCGAGAGAAAATAAATATATAAATGAGCGCACGGGTGGCGCGTTAGCAGGCTAACGTTAGCGAGTTACTAGCGTGCTGTGTTAACAATAACGGAAGCTAGAGGTGTAAGGTTAATCTGAGATGTTGGGTAAGCTGTATTTAGTAGTATAAACAACTAGATAGTAAATGATGGCTCAAAACAAAGAAATACGAGGCTCAGGCGGAGCTTACAGCCTCGAAGCAAACAAACACACAGCAGACAGGAGCAATCGATCAGCGATCAGACCAGAATCAGCGATTGTCAGATTAAAAAGTCGCATACTCTTTATTTTTTATTCAGTGGTGAACACAAGCTTCAATATCTACTTGCTCTGCTTTTTCTTCTTCTTTTTTTCCATTATTGGCTGACTATTGATGCATGCAGTATGTAAGCTTAGCAAACATTTAAAAAAAAAAAAAAAAAACATTTTTAAGCCTTTCTCTATTCTAGTAGATACTAGAAATTAGCTGCATTGCCAAGATGGTCACCAAGTGAACGGATTTTGGTATGGTATTGTGTGCAGAAATGGCATTACTTTGAAGTCAATTTTCACAGTTCAGTATCACCACCACAAATTAGCACAAGAAAATACTTGGATAAACACAAGCGCTCTCCAGTCCCCACCTATCCTTGTTATTCAAAGTGTTCTCGGTGTACTTACAGCGACCTTGTCTAGCCCATCAGGCTATGTGATTGTCCAAACATGTCCTATCAGTGGCCCGTTGCTGTCACTGTTACACTGATGGGGAACCCACAAGAACCCAGATCAGTACTTTCCTCCAGTTTAACCGCTGGCAAGGAGCGCAGGGGGACAGGAACACGCTGCTTGGACACATTCCAGGGAGAATATGGCACATTGCTTTTAACAGCATTAGCATTCCACCATTCCTGTATATAATTTAGTGCTTTTACTCTGAGAAAAAAAAAATGGACTGGAAGAGTATGTGTGATGGGTTTGAGAACGTCCTATCATTGAGTCTGGGTTCTGTAGTTAAAGGGTTAGTTCACCCAAGAATTTAAATTATCCCGTAATTTATTCAACCTCAAGCCATCCTAGGTGTATATGACTTTCTTCTTTCAGGCGAACGCATTTTTCAGCCGAACATTTCTCTTTTTTATACTTCTAATTCCTAACTGGTGTTTTGTTTTGCTCTTTCCTCTCGTCAATTTATAAAGTTATAATTATGAATATTTTCTTACAAAAACGCATCGCTTCACTTCAGAAGGACTTTATTAACCCCCTGGAGCCATATGGATTAGCCTACTTTTATGATGGATGGATGTGCTTTTTTGGGCTTCAAAATCTATGGTACCATTCACTCCCATTATAAAGCTTGGAAGAGCCAGGATATTTTTTAATATAACTCCAATTGTGTTTGGCTGAAAGAAGAAAGTCATATACACCACCTACAGTATAATGGCTTGAGGGTAAGTAAATTATGAGATCATTTTCATTTTTAGGTGAACTAACCCTTTAAGGTGAGGTGACATTGATTATTTTACTAGTTCAATTTTGGTTCATTCAGTTATATTTTAACAGTGCCTTAAAAAGTGCCCTGTAGTAATGTCGCCTCTCAGTTTATCTTAGGTTGTTGCATTTGTTCTGTTGAACAAGTGTCTGCATATTTCACTTACAGTGTTTTTGTAGATATAAACATAATTCTTAACACATTATTCTTTGTTAAATATATATTTTTTTATTTTCTCTTAATTATTACATTACTATCTAAATAATATGCAGGCAAAAAAGATCATTTGTGAACCTTTGATGCCACAAATACTGTGCTGTGGTGATGTTCTATGTTATACTGCCTCCTTTTGGATGGAATGGTTATTGTGGCTGTTATCCTATTGCTGAAATCTCTTTTTACATATCACACGTTCCACTTCTTTTGTGATATCCAGAAACTCTACTGGTGAGCGTCTGCAACCAATGAGCAGTGCGTCAGGAGAAGCAGCAATACAAACTCTCTGTGGCCTGCCGTCCCCTCTGCTCTCTTCTAATGTAAGTGATGCTGAGTTTAATCCCTTCCACAGGCTTTAACACATAAATCAGGGGCCCTTTGAATGTTATTTAGGTCAAATTATTTCAAAAGTTCAACTTTGTTTTGGTGTTGTGAACGGACTAACAACGCAGTTTCAGTCTGTTTTTACATATGGAAATGAAGTTTCAGTAAGACAATTGACTCTCTCTCAGGGTTTGATGGAGATCTGGTCGGATGACAGCTGGAACTGTTGTCATAACCGGAGGAATTCTCGCAACAGTGATACTCCTGTGTATCATTGCAGTGCTTTGTTACTGTAGACTCCAGGTGAGCATTGCATTTACATTTCATTTACATTTTACTGCAGAGTGCTGTAAGGGATAAGGGACCATTCACACACATCGCGTTTTTTGTGTTTAAAACACAAGACGCAAGACAGTGTAATGGGGAAAAACGGATTTTTTTGCGTTTTTGTTTTTAATTGAACTTCTTTTGGAATGTAATGAGCGGGAAGAAACCCGAGTGCAACGCTCAAAAACAACGGATAAGTACAGAGGCCCACAAATGACAAAAATAGAAATAGTGGCTACAAATTTAGTATTGGTTGCCATGTCATTTCTTTTCCGCATTTTAGGTAAATCATGGCCACGCTGTGCTAATCCGTTTTTCGCAATATGCCAATTCGTTCAGTAGTTTTAGTTCAATTGATTTGAGACCACTAAAAAATGAGGGAAATAATTAATTCAACATAGCCACAATTTAACTAAAATGAGGAAATTAATGAATAAGTTGTGGAAACGTTTGCAAAAAATGGCTGCATTCAAAATCTCATACTTCCCTACTATATAGTTGGTGACAAACAGTAGCATACGTGACAAAACAAGTATGTCCTAATTCACAGTACTCATAAAAGAGTAGGCAAAATTACCCGGATGACCTACTACTTCCAGCGAGATTCTGAAGTGTGCATACGATGGACACTTTAGTATCCCATGAGGCCACGGGAGAGGATTTATGAACTGATGCTGATCCGAATTACATTCATACTACACACATTCAAACTATTTAGAACATACTTTTTTTAGCGGTCGTGAAGTAATTACTTATTCAAAATAAGTACCTACTCAAGAGAGTGTGCGATTTCGGACGCAACCCAAATGTTTGCAAATTTCACTATTGAGGTGTGACTGTAATTTAGAGTCTCAAGTAGTGCTGACCACAGACCTTATTTTAATCATAATCAAAAAGAATTTTTAATTGTCTGAATTTTGTTTTAGCCTTCCTGTTGACCTAAATGACATCAAGACTGAACAGCACTATTATGTAAATAACTAAAAACCCTTCCAGAACTTTTCTGTGTTTTGTGCTCAAGTACACTCAGCGTGTTACTCAACAATTTGAGGAAGATCTGTGTTGAAGCACCAATTCCTGATCTTGTTTCCCCTGTATATCTAACTGTCCCTCCATCCCAGTATTACTGCTGTAAGAGGAATGAGTCAGAAGGGGAGGCGGGCTCGGTCGGAGATCTTCAGCCACAGTTCGCCTGCAACGCATGCAGCGCTCCGGGAGTGGACGGGGCGGCCGTCACACCTCTCTCGCTGCCCTACGACCCCGCTCCGCAGCAGAGCTACTGCCCCACTTGCTCGCCCTACTACCTCCGTGGCTCGGATGAGATGCGTAATGGCGGCGAACGCCTGTCCTACATGCCCGCTCACTACGAGAACCATGGCGCCACTGCCCTTGGTCTGGCCGCCATGTACGGCCCCGTGCTGAGCCACCGCAGTACACCAGACTTTTACACCAACACACGAGCCATCAGCACTGACGTCTGACCCTCACAGACCCGGAGATGGACCCAGGGACAGAGCTGCCTCTGTGAACCAGAGCATCTGGGGGCCGTGCCATCTCCTTGCGCAAAGAGTCAAAAGACCTACAGGATGCCATGTTATTCTTCCACGCAGGTCTAAGGCCATCTTCAGTCTTCCATTGTCTTTTGTTTTACCCGTTTTACCTCTTCTTCTTGCACACCCCTCTCTCTCTCTCTCTCTCTCTGCTGTGAGGGCTGTGTGTTATATGACGTGAAGTGTTTGTGGGGGTTTGGGCCTTTTTAATGTCAAAGGTTAAATGCAAATAGGATATTTTATATGTCTGGAAAAGTCAGATATATAAGCATATTTTAAATTTAGAAAAAAGAAATGGAGCATCCCAAGGAAGCTTTATAGGCTCATCTTAAATATTTCATTGTTTATGGTGACATAAAAGGCAAACATTCCACACAAGTTTTTAATAGCTTTTAAAAGAAAGTACTTTTGTTGGAAAAAGCATGACATTCAGCTTTATCTAAATAGCCCCTGATATGCTGAATCTTTTTATTTTAAACACTTATTTTAGGATGAGAAATTAACCAAAATGTAATTGTCTTAATCTATGAAGATCTGTTGGGAAAATGTAAAATGAATTACTGATGATGAATATATTGGTTAATTCGTATTTAAATATGTCACATCAACTAACATTCACAGTGGCACAGAGTGAAATGTGTGTTGGCAGTTTTTGAAAATCAAATAAGATTGAGGTTGGAGTCATATGTTGTTCATTCTCACTTATTTATTTGTCCATATCCACTACTTTTAAAATTAAGAGCTTTTTAAAGGAACATTTCAGTGCAGTTGCTGATATCTCCAATGTCATATAATTTTCAGATTTATACACAACATTTTCAAAAATCTTCTTAAGGCAAAGTCACTGAGAAAATGACTGGAAAATATATATAAAAAAAACATTTCATTGTTCTTATCGAAATGATACTTATATGAACAATAGTTTCCTTGTCTTTGCAAAAGTGTGTATGTAAATTATTATATTTTCTCACATACTTTTTTTCAGTACCCATTGGTTTATGAATTGTGCATTCTGATGTCGATATTTACTGTCACTCTTTGTTAGTAACTGGATCACATTACAAATCACAAGAAGGCACTTCTAATTTACATGTCAATACTTTTTTTGGGAAAAAAAGTTTTTTTGGGGGGTCTGGAAGTACATCAGTCTATGGTTTAAAATACTGAAGAAAAAAGTTGCTGATTGTGCACATATTTCACAGAATGCTTTTGAATATAAATGCCTGTAGACTTTTATAAAATTGGTCAATTGTGATCAGAGTAATAAAAGCCATTTCACATCTATAAAATACATGTACATAAAGATCAAAATATTTCAATGATTGAAAAGTTTCCTGTCAAGTCTCTCTATATATTTGTATCTTCGAACTAACTGCCAATGCTTCTGCTTGCTTTAATTGTGTTTTTATACCATATTCCTATTTATGTTGCTATATTCTATGAAACTATGAAAAAGACTGGTTATCAAACGTTTTACTTCCAAAAAAGCTAATTGAACATTTCCACTTTTTGGTCCATTTCATTGAACACATATTGACCTTTTGTGACAACATGCCCCAGCAGCAGGTCATGTGGTGTTTTTACAATGGAAACGGCTTCGCAGCTAAATTTAAACAGTAAAATAAATACGAAACACAATAAACAATTCTAAAATGGTAAATGGACTGCATTTATATAGCGCTTTCACAGACCACCAAAGCACTTTACAATTTGCCTCACATTCACCCATTCACACACTCATTCATACACCGACGGGCGACGGCAGCCATGCAAGGTGCCATCCAGCTCGTCGGGAGCAGCTGGGGTTAGGTGTCTTGCTCATGGACACCTCGACACTTGGTCAGGTGGAACCGAGGATTGAACCACCAACCTTCCGGTTTGTAGACAACCAACATGAACCACTGAGCCACTGCCGCCCTCCAAAAGTTAAAACACACTTTAGCCTTTCAATTAAAACAATTTAATTTTAGTTTAAAGGATAGAATTAATACAAATTTAAAGGGATACTCCACTTTTTTTGGAAATAGGCTTATTTTACAACTCCCCCAGAGTTAAACTGTTGAGTTTTACCGTTTTTGAATCCATTCAGCCGATCTCTGGTTCTGGCGGTACCACTTTTTAGCATAGCTTAGCATAAATCATCGAAGTGGACAAGACCATTAGCATTTCTAAAAAAAAAAATGACCAAAGAGTTTCGATATTTTTCCTATTTAAAACTTGACTCTTCTGTAGTTACATCGTGCACTAAGACCGACGGAAAATGTAAAGTTGCGATTTTCTCAGCCTAGATATATACCATGAGAGCAGCAGGCGTAATGATATGACGCAGCGCCTGAAAATCATAGACAGCTGAAAATAGCTGGAAAATAGGCTACCTTCCGTCAACACAACGGAACTATTTTCAGGCGCTGCGTCATATCATTACGCCTGCTGCTCTCATGGTACGGCAGTAAAGTTTCTTGATTATTACGCAGGAATGAGAGTATAGTTCCTAGCCACATCAGCCTAGAAAATCGCAACTTTACATTTTCCGTCGGTCTTAGTGCACGATGTAACTACAGAAGAGTCAAGTTTTAAATAAGAAAAATTTCTAAACTCTGTGGTCATTTTCTTTTTAGAAATGCTAATGGTCTTGTCCACTTCAATGATGTATGCTAAGCTATGCTAAAAGTGGTACCGCCAGAACCGGAGATCGGCTGAATGGATTCAAAAACGTACTCGGTTACTAACGTAACCTCGGTTCTCTCTAGAGAGGGAACGAGTACTGCGTAACAGCTTACGCTAGGGGGAAAAACTCTTTTCCGCGAGATATTGAAGCCAAAAATTATCCTTAATTTTTTATTAATGTAAAACGCTTTGCAGCAGCAAGCAGACATAGGCGAAACAGCTCGCGCGCCTATTGGTTGCTCTGCAGCAAATGCAGCAGCCTATCGAGAGAGACTCTGCGTGACGTAATGACCAATGGGGGCAATTCGCGCCCATATCGTCACGTCCCGCCAGAAGGGGCGTGGTCTCACCCTATAAATATGCTCGTTAGGCTGATACAAGCTGGTTTTTATCACTGAAGCGAACCAGAGCGTATACCAAGCACGGCAAGATACGCAGTACTCGTTCCCTCTCTAGAGAGAACCGAGGTTACGTTAGTAACCGAGTACGTTTTCTTACGAGAGTATCTCTCGTACTGCGTAATAGCTTACGCTAGGGGAACACAATGCAACACGCCGTGCGTACAGGGATCCAACACCAAAGTCCCGGGGGCCGAAGCCCAGGGCTCATGTAGTGCATAATCACCATAAACTCACATAGGGTGGAGGAAGAGAGGCTGGAAGCGTCATTCCCTATAAAAAAGCACCCAGCGGGGCTATTATATGACAATAAAACGCGCAGCCAGGGTGAAAGCTTTCAGCCTGATCTGGGTGGCCATACGTGTGTCAACACTCATGGGGCTGCAGTAAACTCAGCATCTGGGCCGCACAGCGGGGCAGATAGTACTGAATTTTAGACCGCCAAAAGCTTAGCTTGTAAGGCGGGTACCTCCAGGTTATAGTATTTTATAAATGTAGACGGCGAGGCCCAGCCCGCGGCCGTACAGATATCTTGCAGGGAAACCCCGCTCGACCATGCCCACGAAGAGGCCACGCCTCTCGTGGAGTGCGCCCTGACACCCAAGGGGCACTGTAGGCCCTTCGCAGAGTAAGCGAGCGCAATGGCATCCACTATCCATCTGGATAGGCTCTGTTTTGAGGCGGCGAGTCCCTTGGAACGCCCGCCAAACAAAACAAAAAGCTGCTCCGTCTGTCTGAAAACAGACGAGCGTGACACATAAGCTCTCAATGCCCTGACGGGGCAAAGGAGACTCGCATCCTCCTCCTCACTGAGAACCGGAAGGGCGGACAGGGAAATTACCTGGGCCCTGAACGGTGTATTGAGGGATTTCGGGACATACCCGTGCTTTGGTTTGAGAATGACCTTCGAGTCATTAGGCCCAAACTCCATACACGACGCGCTTACTGAAAGCGCCTGTAAGTCCCCTATGCGCTTCACTGAAGCGAGAGCCATGAGAAACACTGTTTTGAACGACAGGTGTTTCATGTCCACCAGCTGGATTGGCTCGAACCAGGACCGTGGAAAGGTCCCACGTCGGGACTGAAGGGGGCCTGGGAGGGTTCAGCCTCCGAGCTCCCCTAAGGAAACGCACGACTAAGTCGTTTTTCCCCAGCGACTGGCCAGACACCGGTTTTGCAAACTTTGCTATGGCCGCCACATATACTTTGAGCGTGGATGGGGTCCTGCCCTTATCCAGTAGCTCTTGAAGGAAGGAAAGCACTTCCGAAACCCCGCATTCTACAGGTGAAAAGCTCTGGGCTTGACACCATGCAGAGAAAACAGACCACTTCGAGGAGTAGAGCCGCCTGGTAGACGGAGCTCTAGCCTGCGCGATCGTGTTTAACACTCCTTCTGGGAGGCTAGCGGGTACCCGTTGATGGGCCATGCGTGCAGGGACCACAACCCCGGGCGAGGGTGCCAAATCGAGCCCTCCGCCTGAGAGAGGAGGTCTCTCCTCAATGGTACAGGCCATGGGGCAGTGCTGGTCAGCTGCATCAGGGCAGGGAACCACGTCTGGTTTGTCCAGAGCGGAGCTACGAGCAGCACTGGGCATCCGTTCTCCCTGATTCGTTCCAACACCTGAGGCAGGAGCGAGACAGGAGGAAAAGCATATAGGGGGCAGCGGGGCCAAACATGAGCCAGCGCGTCCTTGCTTTTCGAGAAAAACTCCGGGCAATGAGCGTTTTCGTGGGACGCGAATAGGTCCACCTGTGCTCTGCCGAACGTTTTCCACAGCAGCGGGACCGTCTGCGGGTGCAGCGACCATTCCCCTGCTGGAACCTTGTTCCTGGACAGTCTGTCTGGTCCCACATTCAGGTGACCAGGCACGTGCGCTGCTCTCAGTGAGAGCAGGTTGTGCTGAGCCCAGACCAGGAGGCGTTCCGTCAGCCTGTGAAGGTTTCGTGACCTGACGCCGCCCTGGCGATTTATGTATGCCACCACTGACATGTTGTCCGACCGGACCAAGACGTGGTGGCCTGTTACCTGGGGACAAAAACGCCGTAGCGCTTTGTCGACTGCTATCATCTCCAAGCAGTTTATGTGAAGGAGCTTTTCCCGTTCTGACCACAGGCCAGCTAGCGGTCTGCCCTCGAGCAGCGCTCCCCACCCCGAGGTGGAGGCGTCCGTAGACACCACCTTCACACTCGAAGCGGTCCCCAGACTCACACCTGACTGATACCAGTCGGTTATTTTCCAAGGTTCCAGAGCTGAAACACACTGAAGGTCGACCCTGAGGCGAAA